GCTGTGCAATAAGGATAAGAAAAATGTCAAGGCTGGTGGAGCAAAAGTAGGTTTATAGTTGTTCATATGAAAAATAACACAATAATTAATAATACTATAATAAGCTCTGTGTTTCAAATACTCACAACTGTAAGCCTACTTTTACCTGACTCTATAGCTTGCAAATACTATTTTAAAGCAAGAAAAAGGTAACCTTGTGCTCTTTAGCAATTGCTAACTGCAATTAATAACGATGATGATGGTGATGATGCTGGCTTTAATGTTGGTCATCTCAGCTCTCTGCTTTAATATGGAAGAAGAAAGCAGTTGGGCCATAGGAAGTAGGTATCCCCTCCTGATAGGCAACTTGACGAATCGGTGGCCCAGTGACAGGCCCTGCTTCTGTAGAGACGACGTAGTCAGAGGCAGGGACCACTTAGGACAGGAGCAAGGACAGAAGCAGACTTCAAGGGTGGAGCCCTGGCCACAGGCGGGGCTCCCAGGCCTCCTGTGATCTGGCCATCCCCACCCATCTGCTCCCACCCTTCCTGAGGTGTCAGGTGTCACGATGCCCCTGGCAGGACACACCCCGCCACTTCAGACGCTGGGTCTCTGCTCAGGCTGCCCGCCTCCTGCGATGTCCTGCTTTACCTTCCCTACTTCCCGAGCCGCACTCAGCTCCGAGCCCAGCTCCCTGGTCTCAGCTGCTAGGGCTGCCCCTGCTCACTGCCCTGTCCTCACACAGCCCAGACCTGGGTCTTCCTCACACGTCTCTCTCCCCTGCTAGGCTGAGAGAAACTTGCAAGCGGAGACCATGCTGTCTTCGCTCTGGCACGTCCGCTCATGTAAATAGGAAGACTTTCAGCATAATGTATCTGTGATGGGATAGTACTGTGAACTATTAACCACATTTTTTCCCATTTTCCTGTATTTCTTTGAATCCTCATCTCCTCCATTCACTCCCACTCCTTACCTCAAAGTAGGAAAAGGCAGAAAGTAAAAGGACACAATTCTTGGCTTTGAGTTTCAAAAGCCTGGTCTTTGGGGAGAAATAGAAAGAACTGGGGACTTAAGAAATGTAAAATGAGTCAGAGCAAGGCTCCTACCCCAGGGATCTCTGGTCACGGGGGAAGAGAGGACTGCGGGTAGGGGGCCTGTCTGCGGCCTTCCGTCCGGCTGTGTTCCCTGGGGTGGTAGCAGTGAGGGGGATGCCCAGTGCCTCAGACTGGTTTACAGGACCCGAGAACAGAGGGTCCCCGAGCACCTTTCCCTGGCTGAGCAGACAGAAGGGAGAACCCAGGGACGACCGCATTACCCAGTGGGCAGGCTGGCAGCACCTGGAACAGACAGACCGACAATTTCTGCAGCCCCACAGGGCAAAGGTGGGAGAAAATTGATTGCTATTCAGTATCCATTCCCACTTCCTAATAGAATCATGATTTTCCTGGGAGCCCAGCCAAGAAGACTGTATTTCCCAACCTCCCTTGCAGCTAGAGTGGCCACGTGACACAGCTGTGACCAGAATGTAAAACAGGAGTCACTAGATGGGACTCCTAAAGAGAAAGCTCTTTAAAGGGAACCTGCTCAGCTTTCCTATGTCCTTTTGGCCATCCTTGCCACTTGGGATGGCTGGTGCTGTGGCAGCCATCCTGTGGTCATTAGGCAGCGGTAGGCTACAGTGAAGCAAGAAGACTGAAAGTGCCTGGATGATGACATCATGGAGGCACTGCATCTTCCTGGGCTACCTACCTTTGAACTTGTTAATGACACAAAATAACCCTGACACAAAATAACCCTATCTTGTGAAGACCAATGTTGGAAAACCTCAGCCAAAAATATTTCTTCATCGAGTTAGTGAGGAAACAACTGAATTACCCCTGGGCCTGTGAGAGGGCGCAGGAGCAGTAGAGCAAGAGTTGGGACGGAAGTCCGGGGCTGAAGGTGGACTCAGCAGCCATCCACAGGGACTAAGGGCAATGGAAGGAGGATGTCTCAGCGGCGACCGTGAGGACCAGATTGTTGCCGCCCTTGTCCTGGACACCTCAGCCTGCTATAATCCCCAGGGCAGAGGAAAGAAATCTGAGCTGGCTGAGCTTAAGTAAATGGGAGGGGAGGAGAAACTTGAGATTCGGCAGCATCTCTCAGAAGCCCCTTTGGCAAAGAAAAGTAAACCCTGAGCTGAGAGCTGGGGAGGAGCCTGGATGCCCCTGGTCTGCAGTCCTCAGCACTTCCTTCCCCTGATGAATTATTCATGTCCATGGCTGGGGGGCAGATCAATAATGCAGGAGGCAGAAGCCCAGGCAGGGCCCAGCCTCCAGCTGACCAGCTCTGCCCCCAGCTCCAGGGCGGTCCTCTCCACAGGCCTCTGTACCCGGACCTCTGGAATCCATCTGTCCTCAGGGCACCAGGATGCACACAGACCCAGTGGGGGACCTTTTAACAATTTCAGTACCTCCTCTGCCTGCAGGGACCCATTTGGTCACCACAAACCATGCGCAGGCCCAGACTCATCCCCCCCCTCCCCGACAACCAATTCGTAGCCCTCCCCCCACACACACAGGCTGCAGCCTCCCTGGCAAACACCCCTGGAAGTGGGGTGCAGACATCTTCTGCTATGAGAGCCCCTGAATTCTGTGGGGTGCCCCTCTTTGTCCTTCTCTTTGCTTCTCAGTATTGGCTAGATTTTTTTCGGTTTGTTACAATAGACCATGTAGTCAGTAAGTCAGAAAGTGATGATTTCTAGAAGGGAGATCAAAGACCCAGTGGAGACGGTGTGCCTCAGCTGAGCCTGCAGCAAGGCTGGGTGGAGCTGGCCCGCGGGCTTCACGCGCCCAGCCAGGAGCTTCCACAGCTGGAAAGGGCGGGTATTCCGAGTCATCACATTAGAGCAGGGTGTGGCCTGTGCTTCTGGCAGCTCCAGTGATGCCCACGCTAATGGTCCAGGGACCACACTTTTAGTAACAAGACTCTAGAGTCTAGCCCAGCAGCTCCCAGCCTCAAATGATCACTGGAATCACCTGGAAAGCTTTTTAAAAACTGGACGATCCAGCCACACTCCTGATCGATTAGAGCACATTCTCTCCAGGAGTGGCAGCCAGGCATCCGCATTTTTCAAATGCAGTTTCCCAGGTGGTTCCCACGTGCAGCCAGGGTGGAGAAGGCTTAGGGCCTGGGCCAGAGAGCTTCCTTGTCCTCTGTTCTGCACCAGGGCGGGCTGGGAATGGAGGACAGTCGGACTCAAGTGTCACCTCATGGGCCCAGAACCTCCCTGATTCTGGGGTGCGCTCTGGGATAAAACCCAGGATTTGCCCCAAGAAGCTGTTATTCGTGTCCCCTAAGTGTCTCCAGGAAGTGCCATCTGGCTTCCAACAGCCCTGAGGGTGCGTGGCAGATTATCACCCCGTTTGCAGGTAGGGAGTCAAGGTTAAAGGGCAGGCCGCTCCCACAGCACAGCCGTTGGCCTTTGAAATGTCCCGCGCTGTGGACGCGCCGACTTTGCCCTCACTGAGTCCAGGACACGTCTGCCCTCCTTTACCAACTGTACAGTTTCTAGACTTGGGCTGTGTCTGACCGATGAGGCCGATGGAACGTCCAGGCCACCACGCTGGACAGTAAGGCGCTGGGATTGTTACTGCCCGTGTGTGCAAGGTGGCAGTTCAGCTGAGTGTCATTAAATTGGTGGCATTACACAGGTCACATGTCACCAGGTGGTGCTTCAGATGCCTTTGAACAGGTCGCAGTGCAGCACCGAAACCAGCTGTACAGAGACCTGACTGTCACCTGCCAGGTGAGCAGCTGAAGGACACGGACTTGGCCAACTCCCCTGAGCAGCCCAGGGGCTTTTTAAGGCAGGGGAGGCTCCTGTCACCAGCATTTGAGGACTGTCCTGCTTCTCCACGTCCTGACTCTGTGACCTTGAGCCAGTCACTGGGCCTCTCTAACTTTCATTTTCTTCCCAGAAAAATGGGATGACGTACCTCACAAGGTGCTGTGAGGATTAAATGACTTGCATAAACCACAGAGCCCACTGCCTGGAACATGGGCTGTGCTCCCCTGGCCCCTGGCCTGGTGGACAGGAGTTTCCCCAAGGGGACTCTGCTAACCCATGGCTGGGCACCCAGGCAGGCTGCCCCCAGCGCCCACACCCTGATCCGCTCTGCTCCGGTGCCTCTTGGGTCCTCGACTCTCCCTGCGTTCTGGCCCCCCCCCAGCCCTGTGCCCTGCTCCTCCTTCCCCCATCCTCCTGCCCTCACAGTTGGCAGCTCACCATGGCTGTGTGGCCATTCCTTCCCTCCCCACTGCCTGCCCAGCCTGGCGGCTCCGCCCACACCCTCCTGACCACTCCGCCTGCCTTTCTGAAGTCCTTGCTACCTTCCACAGTCCAGCAACCCCTGCCTGCTTCGTTCTGCAGCCTGGGGAATGCGTTCCCTGCCTCCCACCCCCACGTATGCCTTTCTCTCACCTCCCTGCTGCAGGGCTTTCCTCTCTGGGTAGCAGCAGGACAGCAAGAAGCCAATGTGAGGGTCTGACCTAGGCATGAGGTCAGTAAGCCAGCATCCACGCAGTGTCTTCTGTGTGCCAGGCACGGTGGGGTCTGGGATCAGTCCCTGAACCTCTCTGAGCCTCAGCCTACTGATTCGAAGCCCCGGGTAACCCCAGTAACCCCCCTGGATGCCTCGTAGATTTACCAAGTGTGTCAAATGCCAGGCGTGCACCCGACTATCAGCAGGTGCCGGTTTCCTGCCGCCTTCTCTCTACTCCAGAGATCTTCATTCATGTACAGAAAGAAGCACCTGGGGAAGATGGGACCTGCCTTACTCACCAGGGAAACTGAGGCAGGCTCGGAGAGGGCCCGGGACTTGCCCGGGACAGTGCCTGGTGCTGGCCGTGGTGCCCCGGCTTCCCGGTGCCCAGCCCTGAGAGAACCGTCCCACCCCCGACTCCAGCATTGTCTGCGACCCCTTGATGGGTGCAACCCAGCGGCACAAACACACAGACCCAGGGTGCTCGTGTACGGCCAGCTTTATTTCTTTCCATGCTGAGAAATACAGAGGAGCGGACTGGTGAGTGTGGCGCTGGCGGAGGGGAGGGGCAGTTCCGCTGCTCCCTAGGGGACCCGGGAGAGGCCGGGTCAGCTCCCGCAGCCACACCAGGAGGCCACTGTGTTCGTGCAGCCAGCGGCCGGGCCCACAACGAGGCTGGGGCAGCAGGGCCACTGATCCTTCCAGCTTTGACGAGGCCTGGGGGTGCCAGGCCACCTTTGGGGTGGGCTCACTGGGGACCCTCCCTCCCTGTCTTACCTCTCAGGCCCCGTACTCCTCTCTGATGGAGGAGCTGGTCTTTGGGGGCTTCCACTCCTTCCATATACCTTGGAAACCCCTTGGAAACCCCTTGGATGACAAGAAGACTCTCGAGTTGTTCTTGTCTGAATGGAATAATGTCTCAGCTCTGCCTGTTCCTGAGGCTGTTCTCACCTGAGCGGCGTTTTGCATGTGAACAAGTGTGCGAGTACGTGGGAGTGTGTGAGAAGCGGTGTCTGCACGGAACTGAGGGGGCGGGGCGGGTCTGGGCGCGTGCTGGGCACACGCACACGCCCACGCTGCAGACAGAGCCCCGCCTCTGCCATCGTGTGCCCTGGTGCCTTTCTTCTCCCTCAAATACTGAAGCTGAGGACCCCTGGGGCCAGCTGGAAGACCTGCAACTGCTGACCCCTCCTTCCAAAGCTGAGGCCTATGACCTCCCATCTCCCCTGGCCTGACCTGACTGACCTTGCAAGTGACACAAATACTCTGGGGTCACCCCCAGACTCCCCCAACAAACAGGGCATCTTTACTTTGGCCTCAAAGTTTCCATGAAGCAAATCCAACCAGCCCCTCCTTTTGGGTGTGTGGAGGCTGGCGTTTATTCCCTGCTCGGGGACTGACTCAGGAGAGCTTACCCCAGAGCGATCCCTCTGCTCCCGTCCCCTCCTTGTGGTCCCTGAGGCTTGGACTGCACTGAGGACGCGGAGCTCCTGGCAGACAGAGGCTCGGTGCTAACAGACACCCTCCCAGGGGCCTATGTAGAGGGTGGGAGAGACTAGTATGGACCCCAAGGGGAAACATGCTTGGCCAATCTGGGGCCAGTCTGGCTGGGGCTGGGAAGCTGCCCTGCTGCTGAGCGCACAGTAACCTCAGCTGCTAGGCAGGGCCTCCCAGGGTGGGGAAGCCAGGAGCACCCGCCTGCGAGAGTCTGGGAGCCGAAGCCAATGGGGAACGTGGGCACAGGGGAGGCCCTGTGGACAGAGCCTGTGCCAGAGAGAAGCTGGAGCAGAATCCAGGGCCAGAAGCCAGTCGGGAGGCCCAGGGCCCTGCTCAGTCCTTTCAGGCATCCCATTCGGTCCTTAGACAGAAGCCGCGGTGTCCAGCCCTGCCTCCGGCAGGTGGGTATATTCCCAAACCTGGGGCCCTTCCCTCTCCCACACACTGGACCCTTCAGCCAAGCTCTTCCCTCAGTCTTGGAATTCTCTAGACCAAGAAACAAACTTTCATAAAACCCCTCTGGTCCGCTTCCCTACAGGAGCATAAACACTGCCAATGGCCTGGGAGCCCATGGGAAGCATCCCAGGGCCGTTCCCAAAGCCTCCTCCAGGGAAAACCCCTGCTGTTTGCGGACAGGACGGCCGGGAGCGCAGGGCGAGGCTCAGAGCATCGGGGAGCCGGAGCCTGTGCTCCATCTGAGCCACTCTGCATGGGGCCCCAAGTTTGTACCCCAGACCACGCCAGGGGAGACCTCAGGACCTCCTTGCTGGCTGAGAGGAGGGGAGGGCAGGTTAGGGCCCTAGGAGTTCTCGGTATGTGCTCCAGACTACAGCACGGGTAGGGGGCAAAAGGCGGACTGGGTCATCCTGGGAGACTCCCCAGGACGTCGTAGTTCTCGGCAGAGACGCTTCCGAGGCTGAAAGGTTCGGGAAGTGGTCCGTGGGTGTCTGTCCCTGTTCCACTCTTCGCCAACATTCCTCTGGGCGCCTCCACCCTGCCGTGGGGGACATAGGTGTGGCCGTCACCTCCTTCTAGGGCAGCCGGAGGTCCCAGGCACGCGCCAAGTGTCAGCTCGGGGCTCTGGGCCTCTGAGGTGAGGGCAGCAGCTGGGATCGCAGCAGGCGTGTGGCACAAGGCATGCAAACAGTCCTTCTTATCCCTCCTCAAGAAAAATACAAAGATAAAGTCCCACGTCTTTGCTCCTGGTAGTGCAGGGAGTGTGCTGCCCGCTCCCCACCGCAGTTCACCTGCTCGTGGGGCTGATTTCTTCTGTCCGGCAGTATGTGCTGCTCAGGAGATACCGGGAAATTGTGGGGGTGCGGAAAAGCCAGAACACTGGGGGCAGAACGGGGGGCTGCGTCCATGAGATCAGACACATTTCTGGTCAGTTTCACAGTAAATTCAGCTTCCTTCCTTCCTCTGGCTTTTCCCATCTGATGTGGACTGAGATGGAGTGACTTGGGAATTTCCCTCTGAGTTTGTGCTTTTGGAACTTGGGGACAGGTGGGCCCTTGGCAGTCAGTCACATCCTGTCCTCCGTGGTGTGTGAGGCGTGGGTTGGGAGCGCTGCAGCTGGTGTGCTCTGCTTGTGCAGAGGTCGGGTTCCTTCTATTTCTTCTGAACTGTAAGGGAAAGGACGGTGAAGGCAGAGCAGAGCTCAGGACACGGGTCTTCGGGTCCCCGTGTGGAAGATTTGGGTGTTTCCGGTGGGAAATGACAATGGGACCAGGGAGTGGTTTGGTGCCCCTGGTGGAACTGCACTCCTGCCAGTGAGAGGGCTGGGGCCTGGATGATTGGCGCAGAGCTGGGCATGTGACCCCTGAACGTAGAACCACTGACGCTTGAATTTCTTAGTGAAAGCTCACCAGTTCCCTTGACTGCTGTGGGTTCAGTAGTTGTCATGTGCCATCAAAAGAGTTGTGGCTGAGATGACAAGCAGCAGCAGGACAAAGGAGACTGGGCTAAAGCCCTGGGCGAGTGGGCTCCTGCCTCCCACGCACCTGTGGGTCTGTCGGACTCAGAGAGACCGTGGAGCGTGCTTCTGTCCAGGCAGGAGGGAAGTGGGGGGGGGGCTTTCGAACCCAGGCAGGCTGATTACACACCTGACCTCTTCCCCCTCCTCAGTGTCCAGGGCTGCCCAGGACCCCATGGCAGAATCCCAGGCTTTTTTGCCCCACATTGAACACTCTGTAGCCTAGACCAATGCCTCCCAAACTTAATGATTAGGCTGGAAATCTCAGTAAAATACAGATTCTGACTCCGTGGGTCTGGGGTAGGGCCCCAGATTCTGCATTTCTGACTCGTTCCTGGGGTCAGCAGCCACGGCCACTGGTCCATGGAGCACATTTGACAGAGCAAGGTCTTTGGGGAGAAACTTGGGATGGTCACTGCAAGGGGCTGAGATCCCGGGGTGGGGGGCTTCCCCATGTGAGTGTGTGAAGAGAGGGGGGTGGACCAGGTAGGCTACGTAGCCCAGAGACTCTCAAAGCTGCATGGGCCTGTGAGCAGCTGGGAGTCACCCTGGAAAGTGGTTCCCCTGCCTAGATAACTCCCTTGGGCCACCTCTGGGTGCTCACAGAAGTGTTACTTTCTGAATTCCACCATGTGCGTTGCTTGCCTCTGGCCTGTCCTGGCTGTCTCAGCATGGACACTTGTGCGGCAAGCCTACAGTTTACAAAGGCAGTGACATCCATTACCTCGGGTGAGCTGGGGGCTTCTTCCAACAGCTGTAGATCTGAAAAGCCCTACGGTCCAACTAGACAGACACTGGCCCAGGGCCCAGGGCCATTGGAGCCTCTGATTCCTAGGCTTGCGCTCTTTCTCCACCCTTTTCCCTTAAGCTGCTTTCCAGGCATAAGGCAAGTGAGACCACCAGGCCTACTCAGCTGGTCACTCCTGGGGACTGGGTTGTTTTTCGGGAGCAAGAGTTTAGGCTATGGTGCCCACGGGCTTGTCCCTTCCTTCCACCACCCCTGCCCCAGGGCCCAGGCTATAGCTGTCCTCACACCGAGCAGGCTGGTACACAGCCGGGCCTCACCTGCAATGTTGACGGTCACGGCCACAATGATGATGACGATCCCTATGATGATGAAGCTGATGCTGAGCATCCGGGCAAGGCGGCCCAGCCTCCGGGCCCCGTCCAGGTCCCCCTGTTGCACGCTGCCTCGAGACTGCGGAGAGAGGGTGGCAGAGACCTCGGGAAGGCCGTCCTCAGCAGCCTGTGGGGTCCTGGCCCGGGCCTCAGGAACACACCCGGTTCCCACTGCAGCCGACACTCCAGCTGCCCTGACTCAAGAGGCAGGGACACCAGCCAAGCCTGCCCCTGGCTGGCTGGCTGAGGACAGCTGGAAGCAGAACCAAGAAATGCAGAATCACAGAAGCACAGGGTGGAACAATGGAGACCAAGGGCCTGAGAAGGTGGGCCAGGCCCAGGCTACGCTGAGCTGGTGGGAACAGGTAAGCCAGGCCCCTGCAGACCCCAGGCCCAGGCTGGTGGCTGTGGCTGCACCCAGGTGCTATGGCTGTCCCTGTGGCTTTTTCTCTGGCCTGATGGGTCTGCCTCCTTTTCTCTGTGACTCCCTCTTGCCACAAAAGAAAAAAGTCCTTGGTCTTCCCTACCAGGACCCACACGCCCGCTCTGCCAGGCCCCTCCCAGATCGCACCAGAAAGGCAGGGCCTGGGGGGGAGGGAGTCGCCCATGGCTTCACAGGGGCCCCACTTGACACTTCACTCCTCCGTGAGCTTGGGTTTTCTCGGCCCTGTGCAATGTGGTGAAACCAGGGGGCTGTGGGAGGCGGTGAGGCATCAAAGGACAGAGGGCATCCTCAGAGGCTCCAGGGAGCTCAGTAGGTAGTGTGTCCCAGGTGATCCCATGGTGGCCCTGCGCCCCTGCCAGGGATGGTGCACTCGTCAACTTGCTGGCAAGGGCTTGCCTGTGACCTCGAGTTCTGGCGCTCCCAGTGTTTCCTGGGCTGCTAGAACAGGCACAGGCAGGAGCCCATGAACCGTGTGACTGACTGCCTCGGGCCACTTATTTGGTAATTTATTTTCCAATCATTTGAGACCCCTGTGTTTAGACTGGAAATGTAGTCAAGTACCTTGATGACGATGATGATGACGACAATGACGATGATGACTTATTGTGCCCTTATTTTGTACCAGGCAGCTTGTTCAGGACTGTACCAAAATTATCTTTTAGCCTCAAGCCATCCTATGAGGTTGGCAGTGTTGCCCACTTTTGAAGCCGCTAAAGTTCAGAGAGGCTACCCCGCCCCTCCGTGCTCTTCACAGGGGCACCCCCTCCCCAAAGTGCCACCCCCTTCACCTGTCAGAATTCTGACCGACCCCACTCCCACCCCCACCCCGTGGTTCCCTGTTCCGAGCTCCTTCCAGGCCAGCCCCACTCTCCTGTCACAGGGCCACCCAAACTCACTGTGCCCAAAACTATAGCTTCCGACTTCCCGGGTCTGCTCCCGGCCTGGCACCTGCCCAAGCCCCAGTTCTTGGCAACAGCCTGGAGTCCTCCCACTTCCTGTGCAAGTCCTCCCCCACCCCACCCTACTAATCAGTTTCTGTGCTTGGTGAGTTTCATCGCCACTCCCCTCTCTAGGTCCTTTGCACCTTCCCTACCTCCTTCCGGCCACCACTTCTCCCGCAAGTGAGAATCACCTTGACGATCACCTGCCATGGCAATCGCCTCCTGAAAATCCCCTGGCCCCAAGCTCTCTTCTTCTCCATTCTATCCCCCAAACCACAATTTCACTCCACAGATAGTTACGCCAGGCCCTGGGCCAGGCCTCTGGATGCAGCAGTGCTCAAGGGATTTCCAGGCCCCAGCCCACAGAGACTCTGGCCTGGTGGGGAGGCTGGCCTCCACCTTGACCACACAAACAGGAGAAAATGTAACTCGGGGGAGTGATAGAAAAAGAGGTACCTGGTACTATGGGGCCTTATTAAAGGGGAAAATCCAAGAAGACTTCCTAGAAGAAGGACATTTAGACTGAGATGTGAAGGCTGAATAAGACTTTTGTTTAAAGATTTTATTTACTTTTAGAGAGAGGTAGGGAAGGAGAAAGAGAGAGAGAGAAACATCAAGGTGTGGTTGCCTCTTGCACACCCCCTACTGAGGACCTGGCCCATAACCCAGGCATGTGCCCTGACTGGGAATCGAACCAGCAACCCTTTGGTTCTCAGGCCGGCACTCAATCCACTGAGCCACACCAGCCAGGACTGAAGGCTGAGTAAGACTTAAATAGACCTTTTTCAAAAGGAAGAAGAGTATTGCAGGCAGAGAGAAAAGCATGTGCAAAGACCCTGAGGGAGACCCTGCTTGGCAATCATGTAGCTGCACAATACATCGTGTTTGAGGGAAGCAGGAGGGACTAGATAGAGGCCATTGTGGATGGAGCTGAGAGTGAGCAAGAGGAGGGTGCAGCCAGGCCACGCAGGGCTCTGCGCACACAGGGAGGAGGTTGGTTACTGCCTGAGGGGCAATGGGAGGCAGCGCAGATGAAAGACTAAGGCAGAGGAATGTTTTCTAAAAGGTCTTATGGGATCAGAGAAGAAGTTGGAATTCAGGAGCTGATGCAAAAGATTGGCAAGATGACGGTGACTGAGTTAATCACTCCCTCCCAGTACCTTCCATGGTTGCCCACTGTCCGCAGACCAAAGACCAAACTCAGGTTAGCTTTGCAGTTTCTGATTTTACCTTCTACTATTCTCTTCCACAATCTCTGGGCCCAGCCAATCTGAGCCACCCCAGGGTATGAGCGCCAACTTCCACATGCCTTGGCTTGTGCTGTTCCTCTGGCCTGCATGTTTGCGTTCACACTACCATTTGTCTACCTCCTCTCCATCCTTCAAGGGCTTGCTCCAATGCCACCTCCTCTGTGAAGCCCACCGAGATTCTTCCCCCTTCAAAGGAATACTAATTATCCCTAACTTTATTTGAAAATGTACCTTGTGTCAGGAATATGTTAAATGCTTGCCATCCACTAAAGCTTTTTATCCTCCTATGAGTTAGGGGTTGTTATTAGGCCGTTTACAGATGAGGACCTGGAACAAGGAGGCATCATGAGAGAAGCAACTGGAGATGTGGAGAAAGGCCGGATCAAGAAGGGGCCTGGCTCTCACAAAACAGAATCTGGATTTTGCCCTGTTGGGGAGCGTACAACCCGCTGAGACACACAGAGGGTTTCTCTAAGACAGAAAAGAAGAAGACCCAGTGCAGAGGGAAGGGTGAAAAGACCAAGGGGTGACGAGCACCCCAGGGTCTCAGGGCAGCAGCAGGTCTGGTCCTGAGCAAAGGGATGAACTACAGACAGCGGACGAGAGCACTCCCGTCTGTGGAGACTGGCTGAATGTGGGTGCAGGTGACCTCACACCTGGACAGGTCTGTAGGCGGATCCAGGCAGGAAGTTGTGAGTGTTTGTGCCTCTGGACCTCAGGGCTATCAGTAACAACAGACTGACGTCATCCGGTGAGAGGGAAAGAGAAGATGGGTCTGGTTTCAGGAGGGCCATAGAGTGGCACTCGGGCAACAGCCCATCCAGAGACTCGCCAGCCCAGGGGGACACGGCGGGGACCCAGCCAGGAGCAGGTGTGTCCTCCAGCTCCCTAGAAGGGCACCCTGGCTGAGCACACACATTCCGGAGCCAGACCTCCCGGCTCCTGTCCCAGCTCCATCATTTACTAACTGTGTGACCCTGGACAGGTGGCTTTCCTTTTTTATGCTTCGATTTCCTCATCAGGTAAAATCAGTACCCACCTCACTGGGTTTTTGTGGAGATTAAGTGAGATCATACAAGCAGGGGGCTCAGCGTGGTGCCCAGCTAGAGGAAGTGCTCAATGATACAGTAATGAAATACTTGTGTTGTTAACAGGAGATCCCCTTCCCTCCGCTGAGTCTGAGAAGGATAAAGAAGCATAACCCACCAACGTGGGCAGAGGAGGGCAGACCCCTCGGAGAGGACAAGCCTCTCTGGTGGGTCTTGGTGAAGGTCACAGCACTGCTTTCTGATCCGCCCAGTGAGGGTGCTAATCACATGCTGACTGCGTGGCCAGGAACCTGCCTCTCCTCCCTTTCTCTGTCCCTCCTCCTCTTGATGGCGGCGGGATGGGAGAATGGGGGAGATGCTCCTGTATCTGCATCCCCAGCAGAGCACAGCCCTTGTACCATCCTCATGCTCCACGCCCAGCCTCCGCAAGGCTCCTGCCCTGACAGGTGCTCCGTGAGTAGCAAAGCCTCATCACTGAGCTGCGTGTTACAGCTCCCATTTGGGGGAGAGAATCCTAGCATCGCCCCTCCTGGACCCCCCTCTCTGGCTCTCCCCACCCCAAATACAATCGTAAGAATTCCTGACCTTTCTAACATGCCTCAGCTCCGTCCCTGCCTCTCTAGTCCCACTCCACTGCCCTAGCCCACCCCCTGTGTGTCTTTCCTCTGGAGACTGCATCAGCCTGCTGCTCACTGGTCTCTGCTCCTCCGTTGCCCACCCAACCTCTTCCGAACAGCCAAGGTGAGGTCCCGGAAAGGCAAGCCTGGTCACACGACTCCCACACCAGGGGTACATTTTTATGCCTCTGCTCGTACTGCTTCCGCTGGGATGCTTTGTCTCGTTACCATATTCCCACCTCAACGGCTCCTCCTCGTCCTTCAAGAGCCACCCCCAGCGAACCCTTCCTTGGCCCCCACAAACAAGCCATCGGCCCTCCGTGGGGTTCCCACAGCATCTCGCCCCGTTCTCTTTTTCTCTCTTACCACCTGGTAGCTGTCAGTCTCTTTCTTCAGCCTGTGAGCTCCTGGAAGGCAGGGTCGTGCATCCTCAGCCCCGGCACCCTTATGTAACTTAGGGGACGACGCTGGTAGGTTGTCGAGGAAGTGGAGGACACAGCAGAGAGAAGAATGAGAGGGGAGCCTGTTTTCTAACCATCGAACCAGCCAGGGGAAGGCTCACAAGTGACAGGGATTAATGAAAGGAGTAAGGGTAGCGAGTCCCCCAGGAAAGATATCTGGCATCGGGGCTTGGCCCTGCCTGCTGACCCATGCCACCTCCAGCTCTCTGCATGGCCAGCCCAGGTCACTAGGCAGGCTCAGGACTTCGACGCCAAGGCCACACTGGGGGGGATGAGAAGGCAACATAACAGAAAGGCTCCAGGGATTTCTAGAAGG